GTGCGGTTCCTGCGTGCTCAATGCAAAGTGCTCTAGGACCTAAGAAATCTGCAGAATCCCAATAACCTACGGCCTTGCACCCGGAGCTTCAAAGGGGTTTCATCTATCCTTGCTCCGCTACCATGCGGTTGTTCTCAATCCAAAGGGGCTCGATATGTTCATCATGTCTGTACATCTATGCTAGAGCATGATCACAAATTGTGCACAGAAAAACATCTTTATAAACACGCGCGCAACAACGAATTTACTACTTTTCTCAATGACCGCATGATGGCTTCGACGGCCACTGGACGCGCAGTCTTCAATCCGCCGGGATGTTTGTACTCAGTGTAGAACACTATAAAGCAATGCAAGTGCTGAGCAAAGGACGTAGAAGTCGTTCAGCAAAACAGGAACGCAGTCAGCAAAAAGAACTCTGAAAAACCTGCCGAAGAATGACCGCGATGCAAAGCTACCAAAGCTTCTCCCACCACCATCAAACTAGCCACCAGGGAATCTTTATCTCATCTGATTGATGCCTCCCCCATTTTCCATCGGCCTCGACGACCAGGCAGACTTGCCCCGTGGAACAAAGCAAAATTTGGAGGAAAGCGCTCCACGAGCTGCCTAAATTCAGTCCAGTTCATGCCCAGTTCTGCGCACCATGATTAGCAAAGGAAGAGCCAAAAAAAAGAATAGACACACACATGAAAGCATGCGGATGAAGACCTGCAAAAACAGTGCAAAGCTTTTAGATGCTTTTAGCATTCATGCAAGGATAGCTTTGATCGCTTGCCTCCATGTAGGGGACATCTTGCCGGATATGAAGATCTGGCCTGGGCGCATCATTTTGGGAGAGCGGCATCAACCAGAATATGTCTATCTAGGACACTGACTCGTGAGCCATCGCAAGGAGTGCTACTCGAGGGGAACCTGGGTGTGCTGCACTTACTTTTTCGGCCCACTCACGGTACTATCTACCAAGCAACTTGCACTCATACCACCCTGAGCGTTATGCAAGGGTCGGTTCCATCCGACCTAAAGAGATTGCAGTGGGTTCACAGCATGCAGGTTCAAGCAAGCAACTGAGAGTAAAGCAAAATCTGCCAGGTACTGTCGCTCAGTCGGTGCAGATTTAGCCCATCGAACTTCTGCCAAGGAGATTCTCCCAGGAATCAAAACGTCCTGATAGCATTTGCAAATGCGTGACATGACATGACATGTTGATCATGTTGCCATGGATGTGCGAACTTGGGGGATAGCTCTTTTTGGTGTGGGTGGGGTGCAACATTGACTACTCATATATAGCGAAAATAATCCGAAAGTACGTCCGACTCCCAACTCTTGTCCGCAGAAAGTGGCAAGCATTCAAGCATTCCCTGACTTTTGCAGGTCATGTTTCAAGCGCCTGGGCTTAGGCGCACGTGGCTTGGACTTGATTGCTCAGCCTGGTCTTCTTCGAAGAGCCACCATGCAACGTGTTCTCAAAGCTTCAGGGCGACGATTTGAGTTATGGTGTACTTCACCAGTCTCAAAAGCAACCCATGCGATCACATGTGCTGGTGAAGTCTTCTCCCAGGTCTGTCTCCAACCGCAAGTATCGCGCGCGGAAGGGCAGTACTGCAACGAAACCTCACAGAAATGGAAGGAAGTCACGTGGTCAGAGTTTCATAGAGTTTCTAAATACATGTCCCGTGAGGAAGCCAAATGCGTCTCACTGGATCTCACTGGCCCATAGCGTGGGCAGGTGCTCTTGACAGAATCCAAACTTCTGTATTCAAACCCGCAAGCAACGACACCAAACGGCTTTGCTCCAAGGTGCAAAGGACCGTGCTTATCACCATCAGCCAATTCATCCATAAACTGGAGCCTCCAATCTTCAATGGAACGGCCAGGACCAGAATCTGAACCAATGACACTGTGAGCATCATGGTGCTAGCTGCAAGATTGTCGCTCACAAAGCCATAAACGGTCTCCAGAATCAGCTCGAAGAACAATGGAGGCATGCAATTCACGCCAAATCCACCAATTACCCCAGTGACTCCTCGCAAGGAAAGGGACAACCCTCATTATCATATGGAGAGTGTCAGCTGTGATTCGGCTCACCAGATCGAAAATGGCAGTTGCATATCTCACTCAGAAACCTCCCACAACCCAACCCCCACAAAAAAACACAACAATGTGAACCGCCATAGTACAGTTTAGCCTCAGTAGTCGACAACGCTGGACCGCGCCTAGAAGCAATGCGCTTGAGTCCACATGGAACGTGAGCAGCACGGCAAATACCAAAAAACCAAGAGCAGAGAAAGCTGCTGAAAGAAGGATAATGCTCTTCAACGCGCCCAGTAAGCGCTTGGTGACCAAGCCGATGGCAATGCCTCAGGTGTGACGCCAGTTTGAGTCTGATCAGCACTTTGTTGCACTTTAGCCAGCAACAAGTTCGGTGAGAACAAGGCGTATGAAGTCATTCAGGCCCTCAGGGTGAATTTCGGTGTCAGAACCAATAGAATGACCCGTGATGGCAGCATACCACAGCTTCCGTTCATGTTATACATTCACCCAAACTGCCTGAACTCACTAAGCCTGACGAGTTGATGAAATGGTACAGCCCTTTGTGCTACAAAGCAATTTCCGCCCTTGCGATAGAATGTGGGCACTCCAAAATCTATATATTTTTTCTCGCTCTCTCTCCCTCTCTCTCTCTCTCTGGTCGGCATGACTCGTCGCCGTCTCAAAAAATACCCTGATCCTCTGTCATCCGCTGTCTGGTCAGACTTAGAAACTCACATGTCTTGGGCTTGGATAATCTTCAGCACTTGACTTCAACGTGGGATAGCCGGCTACTCAGTTGGCAAAGCTGGTTTGCCAGTGTTGTTTTGCCAGCGGACACCCGGTCGCAACACCCACAAAGGAAACAATATTAACACATACTATTAGAGGAACAATCTGTAAAGAAATGCATTTTTTGCTGTTTTGCAATCTTTTACCGGGCCTTTCAGCAGTACAGAAATACATTTTTGCTTTTTATCGTTTTACCGCGCCTTTCGGTCAAATTCATTGCGGGTAAAAAGCAGAACAGGTGCTCCTGGGAGATGTTTTCTGTGCAAGAAATGACACAAAAACACCTGTAGGTTCTGAGTATTTATTGGCTTCAATTTTTTAGACCAGGCCTAATTACAAAGGTTTACGAGGAATAATTACAAAAACAACACAAACACATAAACACCTAAATTTTGACACAAATGAAAGCAACAAAAACAAGAGTAATAAATTCCAACTATAGCACCCTCATGTTGAACCAAACATGTTTTTTTGTTTGTATTTTTTCCTCTGTAGCACATTCACACGCCCTTGCTAATTTGCGTAGTCTTTATATGTCTTTATTCAATATGTCTTTCCTGGCGCAAATGCATAGCTTCAGGGTTTATACGACGGCTTTTGCCGAGTACTGGCGCCACTGTGCTTTGGACAAGGTCGCTAAACGTCTTCCTCTCCCTCAGCTTTCTTCCCTGCAAGCTGTTCGAATTCTCAAAAGGCTTTTCAATTGCTTCAGTAGGATTATGTATGTCTTGTTTGACTGTTACACATTGATAGTGCGCAAACGATAAGCTATTTCTTTTTGTCATTGACATTACATACAGAGATTGGCACAGGAAAACATAAAATATGCGTTTCGCCTAGGCTAGGTCTCAATGCAGTTTTTGAAAATTTGCACGGTGTGTACGGTGCTTTGATCGATTTTGAGCTAGTGTGTGCTCTCCCAAGCACACCCGCTCTCTAGAAAAACGATTCTTAATGATTCTTATAAAGTTCATCCTTCTTCGATGTTACGAAGATTGGCATAAATTGGTGATATTAAATGATATTACCGTAATCAAACAATAAGAAAACACACAATGTTTACAGTACCCTTTTGACCACGCCTTTGGGTAACAAAAAGGCTGAGGCACCCGGGCAAAACGGGAAAAAACGATAACTTGTGGTTTTTAGCGTTTTGACCGCAGAAGTGTCTCAGCAAAACCTATAAGCCGAACAGCGCTAAAACAGTACAATCGGTTGGAGAACCCCGATCTTCCATCATTCTTGCTTACCGAGTTTCTCCCTGCGGCACCTGACAGTGTCATCAAGCAGCCCAGCAACGCCACAGCGCGGGGTGAAATCCTCGTGGTGGCCCCGTTAGCATGACCAATAGTTTAGCTGAAAGGAACTGTGCCCTTTCCATCCCTTTCCCCAAGCTCCACACAGCCAAAAGGGAGAAACTTGAAGAGCCAGAAAAAGTGCAAACTTAGAAAAGGCACCCGAGATCCGTTTGCGCTAAGTTCAGGTTCAGCACTCCGGCCCAGCTTTGATATGCACCGATGGGAATTGCGAAGCTCAAATTGAGAATCCAAAATCGGCATGCCTCTGCGTTTTGACAAACGGTCAAAAAACAAGCAGGCAACACTGTCTCTTGAGGAGGCCAACACACTAAACAAACATTCCTCAAATCATTCCTCAAAGCCTTCCGTTTCAGGACCTTGTGGCTTTTGGCGGTTGCAAATCCCTCCCGACCAATTCAGCACTTGATATGTTCAAAAAGCGGCTCACACTCCTAAATATTCCTAAAAAGAATATATATATATATATATATGCAACATATGCAAAGTGGGCTCTCTTCCAGGCCAGCAAGACTCTTGCCGACTCGTAGGAAAAAGCTGTGCATAGGTTCCGGTGCTGCTGCCACGTTTTACAGCTGCAGATTCTGAGGGCGGGGAGCTCGGTGCGCTCGGAAAATAGATGATGGTGGCCAACAGCACGGCTAAGCACAAGCTTGCTTCTAGCCACATGAGGCTCTGCACCTCTAAAGCTGCTCGTCATCTTATGCAAATAAACGATTGGAACATTTTTCCCCAGAAAGCGAAGCTATAGGGGTTCTTACTTCTCAATGGATGGGTTCCTGATTGCGCAAATTGGCTGCCACTGCCGCTGCAGCCTTGTTTCCCAAGCTTGTCTCCCGTCATCATTTCGCTCTTGGCTGCCGCTGCCGCCTTGTCTGTGAAGCTTGTCTCCCTTCATGATTTCGCTTTTGGCTGCCGCTGCCGCCTTGTCTCCCAAGCTTGTCTCCCTTCATGATTTCGCTTT